TATCCGCCTGATTCGCCAGTTGCATCCCTTTCTGGATCGGGACTCGTTAAATATGGTCACTCATGCTCTTGTTACTTCCTGCCTGGACTACTGCAATGCTCTCTACATGGGGCTCCCCTTGAGGAGCACCCGGAGGCTCCAGCTGGTCCAGAATGCGGCTGCGCGGGTGGTTATGGGAGCGACATGGCGCTCCCATGTGACCCCCCTCCTGCGCGAGCTGCACTGGCTCCCGGGGGTCTTCCGGGTGCGCTTCAAGGTTTTGGCTACCACCTTTAGAGCGCTCCATGGTATCAGACCAGGGTATTTACGAGACCGCTTTCTGCTACCAATAGCCTCCCACCGACCAGTACGCTCCCATAGAGAGGGGCTTCTCAGGGTGCCGTCTGCCAAACAGTGTCGACTGGCGGCCCCCAGGGGGAGACCCTTCTCTGTGGGGGCACCTACCATCTAGAACGAGCTCCCCCCAGAGATATGGAGGATCCTGGACCTGCGCACGTTTCGTCATGCTCTCAAAACTTTTTTATTTCAGCAGGCTGGCCTGGCCTAACTCTCCTCTTTTAAATTTTTAATTCATTTGATTTTATAAATTGGGTGTTTTAATCTGTGTTTCGGCCAAAATATTTAATAATTTTAAGGGATTTTTAATATTTGTATTATCTGTATTTTATCTTGGCTGTTCACCGCCCTGAGTCCTCTGGGAGTAGGGCGGTATAGAAATTTGATAGATAGATAGATAGATAGATAGATAGATAGATAGATAGATAGATAGATAGATAGATAAATAAATTAATTTTGTTCAGGAACACCAGTTTCTGCCTGACTTTGCTGCAACCAGGTTCTTTCAATAAAAGTTCCTTTCCTTCAATTAAATTGAGTCATGAGTCTTATTTTCTGGACAGAGTGTAGAGAAGAGCAACAGAGATGATTAGGGGACTGGAGGCTAAAACTTATGAAAACAATTGCTGGAATTGGGTATGTCCAGTTTAATGAAAAGAAGAACTTGGGTGACATGGTAGCAATGTTCTGATATCTCAGGACTTGCAACAAAGAAGAGGGAGTCAAGCTATTCTTCAAAGCACCTGAAGGCAGGACAAGGAGCAATGGATGGAAACTAATCAAGGAGAGAAGCAACTTAGAACTAAGGAGAAATTTCCAGACAAAACAATCAGTGGAACAACTTGCCTCCAGAAGTTGTGAATGCTCCAACACTGGAAGTTTTCAAGAAGATGTTGGATAACCATTTGTCTGAAGTGGTGTAGAGTTTCCTGCCTAAGCAGGGGGTTGGACTAGATGACCTCCAAGGTCCCTTCCAACTCTGTTCTATTTCCTGAGACAGCCAACAGGCCGGTCAGACAGTTATCCTTCGTTGCGATGCACCAGTTGTGATGTGGGCTCTCAGCCTTAGTTTTGACATGGACTTGCAGAAGTACTCTGATACAACATGAACATTCTTCTCGGAAGCTAGAAGAAGACAGTAAGATGTTGGGAACAGGATAAAGATCCTCAACATCTGGTTTAGTTTGGTCTTTTTTCCCCAAAAGGAAACAGTGTTCAAATGCAAACCAATTAACAAAAGATGTAGGGGGGCGGGGGGAGAGATGGCAATCCAAATTATGTTCTGATGGCAGGATGTTTGTCTTCAGAACCAGATCAAACATTTCAAGAAATTTGGAAAGCTTGTGCATATCATCTTGGAGCAACTTTTTGTGATTTTTTGAGAAATCATGGCGGATGGATAAAGTGCAAAAAGCTACAAAAAGGAGGAGCCAAGGTACTTAGACCTGTAGCTTAGTTTCACACTGGGCAAGTATTGGAACAGATTATTAAGCAAATTATTACTTGTTAGCATTTAGAAAATAACTCATTCCTGAGCAGGAGCAAGCATAACATTTGGTATTAATCATGCAAGATCAACTTGATCTCTTTTGATAGAGTGACCAGTTTAGTTATTGAATCTAGTGGGCACCTTGTCCTCAGCAAAACACTCAACACAGCAAAACCTCCATGATTGCTATTCCCACTTCAAAGCTGATTGAAGAACTGTATCTAGCAAATGACCATCAACGGCTCTACCACTGTGATGGTGCAGTGGTTGGAATGCAGTACTGCAGGCTACTTTTGCTGCCTGCAATTTGGCAGTTCAAATCTCACCAGGCTCAAGGTTGACTCAGCCTTCCATCCTTCCGAGGTCGGTCAAATGAGGACCCAGATTGTTGGGGGCAAGAGGCTGACTCTGTAAACTGCTTAGGGAGAGGGCTATAAAACACTGTGAAGCGGTATATAAGTTAAGTGCTATTGATATTTTATCTATTCATGGTATCTGACTTCCTGAAGAGGTTTCCAAATTTGGCAACTTTAATACTTGTGGACTTCAGTTCCCAGAATTCCCCAGCCAGCATGGCTGGCTTAACATCTTAAAGTCTAAAGTCGTCAAGTTTGGACACTCCCTGATATAGCCGGTCAATTAAAGGGTGGGATGGGAGTGCTTCAGCATTCTTTCATTTTTGGCCTAGTATTTTTAAAATCTCATGTTCAAAATGCTTTAACCTGCTGTTTTCAGATACCCTTGTTGGGATTAGCTTGGCATATACCAGTGATGGCTAACCTTTTTACCATTGCGTGCCAAAAGCGGGGGGAGGCGGAAGGGGTCATGCACGCATGTGCCCTCATCCATAAGTCTATGCGCCCCACCCCCCGCGCTTTTGGCACATGATGGCACAGTGGGCCCGGTAGACCCGTTTTCACTCTCCCCAGGCTCCAGAGCCTTTCTAGGAGCCTGGGGAGGGTGAAAACGGCCTTCCCCACCCCACCGGAGGCCCTCCGAAGGCTGGAAATGGCCCGATTGCCGACTGGTGGGCCCAGAAGCTGGAGCTGAGCTCACATGCCCACTGATATGGCTCTGTGTGCCACCTGTGGCATGCGTACCATAGGTTCGCCATCATGGATATATAGATTTGTTGAGGTAACTATCAATTAAGAATCAATAAACCTAACAAATTCTGGGGAGAAAAGCTTGAGATGGGGGTCAGAAACACACATAATCCATTGGTGCACAAATTCATTACAGGTAGTCCTTGACATAGAACCATTCATTCATCTGCTGAAGAAGTTGTAAAAAAAATGATTTTAAAAGGTAAAAAAAGCCTCTGACGATCACAGCTGAGCTGCACGATCATCAGAGGCTTTTTTTTTTACTTTTAAAAGTAAAAAAAAGGATTGTGCGCCACAGCTGATCACCCCCCTCTCATGCGCTGTTCTACTTACCACATGCCTCCTTTTGGCGTGCACTGTGTACACGCACCTCACATTTGGTGTGTGGTGTGCACTGTGCATGTGCAGCCAGCGAACTGGTAGTAAACTGGTTCAGATTTCACCACTGGCTGGGACTGCTGGGAAAAGATCCTCTTTGCCCCCAGCATCACACACAGCTGGGGCCGAGAGAACTCAGCACTTCCTTCTCTTCCTCTACAGTCAGCTGGAATGTTTTGGGGTGAGGGGGAGGAGGAGGGTTGACAGCTGAATGTTCCTATCCATATTTACATTGCAGAAGGAAGAGAGATTAATATTTCCCTTGCAAAAATAGCCCACATTACAAACAGTGGTTGCACTGAAGCCCCTCTAAAGGCACACCAGCTGGAGGGGAGAAAGTGCTACAGCATCATTCTGTGCCTTTGTTTTAATCTGAGGTCTGCAATCAAGAAACCTGGATGTTAAAATAATAAATATAACATTTATATGCTACCATATACAAACGTTTATTACAATAAATCTAATAAATCCACTCTTTCTTAAGACATAATCTTGGTGCCCCAGGCCGGCTGGAGTCCATCCAGCTGCCCACTCAGCAGGCCCTTCCTTCAGGGGACTCGCCCGGAGGGAACTCTGGGCAAGCAGGGGGGCAGTGCTTCTCTGCCAGGCCGGCTTCCCTGCTCCCCAGGGAGGCCATGCCCAGCAACGGTTTGTGGGCTGCCACATGGACAAGTCCCGCCTTAAAGTTGCTGGAGGCTACAGACCAGGACAACCAAGTGGAGTTGCCATTGCCAGCGGGACAGTGACAGGGGGCAACATCAGATTAGATTAACAGAGTTGGAAGAGACCTTGTAGGTCATCTAGTCCAAACCCCTCCCCCCCCATCCAAGCAGGAGACCCTACACCATTTCTGACAGATGGCAGTCCGGTCCCTTCTTGAAAGCTTCCAGTGATGAAGTGCCCACACTTCTGAAGGCAACTTCTGTTCCATGAGTTATTTGCTCTCATTTCCAGGTTGAATCTCTCCTTGATCAGTTTCCATCCATTATTCCTTCTCTGGCCTTCAGGTGCTTTGGAAACTAGCTTGACCCCCTTCCTCCTCTCTGTGGCAGCCCCTCAAATATTGGAAGATGCTGTCATGTCTCCCCTGGTCCTTCTCTTCACTAGACTAGCCAGGCCGAGTTCCTGCAACCGTTCATCGTCTGTTTTAGCCTCCAGGCCCCTCATCCTCTTGGTTGCCCATCAGCCTGTCTTTCCCCGCCTCAACTCTTCCCTTCATCGCATCCCCGAGGAATAGGCGCCCCTCCGGGTGTCCGCCGCCCTGCCTTCCCTTCCAGCGGGGCGAGCTCCGTGGTGCATCCGCCCCCTCCGACCCGGGCGTTTCCTGGCCGAGGGAAGGGAAGGGAAGGGGCGGGCGGGGCGCAGAGCTTGGCCGGCCCTCCTCGCCTTGCCTTTCCCCGCTGCTGCGCCGGGAGAGCTCCTGGCTGACGCGCCCAGGTAAGAGCTTCTGGCCGCCGCCGCGGCTTCCCTGGTCCGGCTCGGGGCTCCCTCCGCTGCCTGGCGTCTCCGGCCGTCGGGGCTGAGGTGCTCTCTGGAGCCCGGGGCTGGCGGGCTGGCTGGACGGCGGCGGCGGCTTCCGAGCTGCCCGGGCGTAGCCGACGAAGCTCCTTCCTCCTCGGCTTACCTTGGATTAGCCGGCCGGCCCGTTCGTCGATCCCAGCGACGGGCGTGGGGGAGGGAAGGGAGAACGGAGCCCGTGCAAGACGAAGCAGGGCAGGGAGGCGGCCTTTTGCTCCCTTCCGCCGTCCGCAGGCGGGGTTGGCCACCCGCTCTCCTGACTGGTTCCGTCAAGCCGGCATCTGGTTCAGGCAATCCGGCGTCCCCCGGCTCTCCTGTGCCCCGGAGACGGGTCGGGCGGCCCCCGTCGGCTGCCTCCGCCCCGTCCTGGCCGGGGCTGAGAAGGGTTAGGGGGACCCCCGGGTGGGGGAGCAGGGCGACTCCAGGAGCTGCCCCGTCAAGGAAAGGCCGCCCCCGGGGAAGAACTGGCCCAAGCGTTCCCTGTGTTGAGCCGGGAGAGCCCTGGAGAACCTACCCAAAGCTCCAGGGCGGCTCTTTTCTTTAACCCAAAGGATGGGAAGTTCTTCCTTGATCTGCTGGTACTGGGCAGGATTGGGGAAGGTCAGTGCTAAATCCAGGTGGCACCACAGAAGGTGGGGAAGGTGAAGGTGCCCCGAATCCTGCCTTGCAGGCAGCTAAGAGCTGGTCCCAGCCAAGGAAGAGGCTCCTTCGTGGCTGGCCCTTGAGGGGCAGCGGCCGTCATGGAGCTGGAGCGATTCAACCTGGAAGACACGCAGGAGACCTGGCGGGAAGAGGAGCAGAACGAGGAGGAGAAGAGCAGATGCCCTTGGATCAGGTGCAGCAGCATCCACAATACCGTTTCCAAATGGATGCTTCCCGGGGAGGCCAGAGCTACTTACCTGGAAAGAGCCAGCTGCATCCCACCGCCCATTTTCATCCTGGCCGTCAGCTTAGCTGAGGTAAAAAGCTCGCTCTTGTATTTGTACATTTTATTTCTACACGTGTTTCAAGATTTTTACCATGGATGAAATGTTCCAGGATCACTTGTTTAATCTATAGATCAGGGGTCTCTAAACTTGGCAAATTTAAAACTTGTAGACTTCAACTGCCAGAAGTCTCCAGCCAGCAATGCTGGGGAATTCTGGGAGTTGAAGTCCACATGTCTTAAAGTTGCCACGTTTGGAGACCCCTGATCTTTAGAATTAGTTTTCACAAATAGATGACTCTAATTCCCTTTTTACTAGTGTTATTTTTTTTTAAAAAAAAAATCATGATAGACCTTTTACTTCTCATTTTAAGTGAGCCTGAATGTTTCACCAATTCCTAAAAGGAATTTATCCAGGGAAAGGACCTTTCCACAGGTATCTTCACCTGGGCCTTCTCTCTGTTCTGGTTTACCTGCTTTGCAGAAGGTGCTCACTTACCTGTTTCCCCCCAAATATAAGACTGTTTCATCCAAGATAAACAAGTAAAAGGCCAGTGAAAACCCTGTGAAGAAATGTCACCATGTGGTGTTTTCAGAATAGCAATATTTTAAATATATTATTAATGTTGGGCTGTTTTAATTATATAGATGGTAGGTTTGAAAGCTGATTGAGTATTGGAGTTGTCTATAAACCTAGTAAAATGAGTAAATAAACTGATCTCTACTAAGAAGATTTCCTGAGAGAGAAAATTTCAGAGATCCCTTTTCTTTTCCAGGAAAGTGATGTGAAGGATAGTTTTCTGTGAGATGCCAAGCAAATGATTGCAGGTTTCTTGTGACCACAAAAGCCATGGATCTAAGGGAACAAGGGAGGGACTCAATGGGCACTGCTGAAAATTTGCAAGATTGCTGAAAAATCCCTGCTTAGAAATATATCTAAAGAACAATGTGACTCTTCCTTCCTTACACTACCAGTAGCTCATTTAATGTTTAATTTTGATAGTTTTTATACACAGAAGGAAACTTTAAAAGAGAAAAGAACCAGTGGGTCAAAACGATAAGGAAGTAAACTCAGATTAAAGAACTTTCCTGCCTCTGAAATGATATTTTCCCCGTGTGAAGGAGGTCTTCAAGGATGGATAGCCACCTGTTCAAAATGCTTTAGGTTTGCAGTTCAGATTGGCCGAGGGGACCACTAAAGACATCTATGAGAAATAAAAAAGAAATTATATGCCTAATTTAAAAAGGGGGGAAAGAAAAAAAGTACCAAAACACATTATCGTATTTAAAACAGACAACTTAAACAAATGGAATAATATTGAGTGAATTTTCCATTTTACTCATTACCAGATCAGAGCAGAGAATTGAAATCATGCCATTAATTCATAGTGGTAAATCATTATGGCACATTCTTTCCACTGTAACAATATAATTTTGTTTACAGTATAATCTTGTTTTGGGGGGCAGCATCTAAGTCTACAGTCCTTTGTAGAATATTGAATCATAGGGCTGGAAGGGACATTTGAGGTCTTCTAGTCCAACCCTTTGCTCAAGCAGGAGATCTTACATTATCCTGATCAAATAGCTATCCAGTCTATTTTTGAAAGCCTCCAGTGATGACGGAGCACCCACAACTCCAGGAGGGAAACTATTCCATTGATTAACTGTTCTCACCATCAGGAAATTTCTTCTTACTTCTAGGTTGGATCTCTCTTAACAAGCTGCCACTCATTGAGCCATGGTGGCGCAGTGGTTAGAGTGCAGTACTGCAGGCTACTTCTGCTGACTGCCAGCTGACTGCAATTTGGCAGTTCAAATCTCATCAGGCTCAAGGTTGACTCAGCCTTCCATCCTTCCGAGGTGGGTAAAATGAGGACCCAGATTGTTGGGGGCAAGAGGCTGACTCTGTAAACCGCTTAGAGAGGGCTGTAAAGCACTGTGAAGTGGTATATAAGACTAAGTGCTATTGCTATTACTTCTGGTCCTGCCCTCAAGTTCTTTGGAGACTAAATCAACCCCCTCTTCTCTGTGACAGCCTCTTCAGTACCGGAAGATAGTTATCATATCCCCTCTAATCCTTGTCTTAGATAGGCTAGACATACCTAGTTCCCTTAACTGTTCACCATACGATTTAGCCTACAGCTCCTTTATTATCTTTGTTGCTCTTCTCTGCACACTTTCTAGGGTCTCAACATTTTTGTGCATTATGGTGGCCAGAACTTTATGCAGTATTCCAAGTATGGCCTCACTAGTGTGGTATGAAACGGTATTATCATAATTCACATATTGATAAATTCCAAATAGTTTTGTATATAATACAAAATTCTCTTTCACATCTCCAGAACTCATTATTTTTCCTAAAACTACATGATCAAGAATATTAAATGAACATGGGACTGCAATAGAGCAAGCCCATATCATATATCAAGTTTTACCTAAAATGGTGAGGAGGGAAGCCCATGTCCCCTCCCCCAAATCGTGTGATATTATTGATCTATGTCTGCTAATTGTTTCAGACATTGTGGCTTATGGTGATACAGTAGATTGTGGGAAGTCTGCAAGTTCATTCCTACGATTAACTTTCTGGAGGACTTACTCCTGGTCAACTGAAGAGAACAGGTGCCAATTGCTTGGGTCTTTACCTGTATTGTTATCTCAGTCAGGTATGGTCTGACGGGCTTTCTCTTGTTTATTTCTAGCTGTCAGTGTTCATTTATTATGCTGTTTGGAAGCCCCAGACTCAATGGATCACACTAGAAGTGGGAATCTGGGAAAGTCCGCTTATTTATAGGCCCGAGAAGCGAAAGGAAGCCTGGAGATTTTTGTCTTACATGTTTCTGCATGCTGGGTAAGCAGTCGGTTAGGCTCATTTTGACAGGTGCTGAATGAGGCCCTGGGCTTGGCTTTGTTATTCTACTTGGTTTTCCATTGGGATTGAAGCTGCTTCATGGCCTTGGGCTAAGATCACACCTAGAACCCCGGGGAACTGCTGCAGTCTAATTGTACTTAATTACTTCACTGCCACTTCAGTTGTTTGTTTTATAATTATGCTAAACACTGAATATTTATATATTCATTAAATTTGTATCCAATTTTATCATTAACATAATCTCAGTGTTCGAATAATCTTTAAACTGATGTATTATATGTTTGTTTGTTTTAAAAGAAATAAAAAACTTTTTATAAAAAACAACATAATCTCAGTATGCTGTGGGTTTTTTTCTGGAAGAGATAAGTATTAATTTCAAATTCTTCTTTCCTTCTGCAGCATTGAACATATTATAGGGAACCTTGTTCTCCAGCTCTGCCTGGGTATTCCCCTGGAATTAGTTCATAAAGGACACAGAGTGGGAGCTGTGTATCTTGCAGGAGTGATTGGAGGTAAGTTGTGCCAGAAAAAGGCTTGGTAGCAATTGACTCACTTTTCGATGCAAAACAGCAGGAGGGACATAGCCTGTCAAAATAAAAAAAAAAATTACATTTTAACTTGCATGTCAACAACCAAACTTAATAGCTGCTTAGTTATAGGGGAAGGAATAGCAGAACCTGCAGGTGGAGTCAAAAGAGCAATCTGACCAGCATCTCTATGTGGCCACAAGTGAATTAAGTCCAACCCCGCCTTGAATTCCATTGATATTTATGTGCGTAGGCATCAGTTGCAATACAGCAGTTAAATTAGACCTTTGTGGGTGGACCTGGTCCTTAGTGCCTGACATTAGGCATTCCAAACTGCTAGCATTATCTTGGTTAATTGGCCTAATTCTCTTTAGGTTCTTTGGCAAGTTCCATCTGTGATCCTCTGCTGGGTCTCGTGGGAGCATCAGGAGGTGTCTATGCTCTGATTGGAGGATACTTCATGAATATTCTAGTGGTAAGGAGGTTGCTTGGACATGGGAGGGGGAATAAGATTTCCCATTGCAGCGATGCAACCAGATGTTGGAAATTAGGGTCATTAAGCAAGGACTAATTGTGGTAGAACTCTGAAAGAAAACTATCCCTCTCAATGCTTTGGGTCACTGGCCAAAGTTTTCATAATCTAAACCTGGGTTTACAGTCACAGAATATCATCCAGGAGAAAAAAAATGTCTCAAGATGGAAATTAGCTTAGAAGAAACACAGGCAGTAATGATTATTAAGTGGATTCCTTTGTTCTCTCTGAGCTTGGTTGTTTGCTTGCTAAGTAACTAGGTGGTATCATCAGTGTGAATGAGTGTGAGGTTTACTTCCTATTATTGTTGTGGTCCGCCAGCAGCCTGCAGAGCTGGCGGTAGAGTCGGACAGTGAGGAGGCTGGGGAGGAACATGGGCCAGTCCTGGAGTCTGGGGAAGACCCGGACGAGGGCTCTGCGTCAGAGGCAGAGATGGGGCCAGGGACATCTGGGAGTGATGCGCAGACTCTGGAGTCTCCAGAGTCGGACAGCAGAGAGGCAGAGGATCAGGAGGAGCCTGTTCTTAGTGTGCGCATGTACAGAGCTGCCAGAAGGCACGAGCAGTTAAAACCAAAGGGACGACTTGGGAATAATGCCTGGAGATGATTGGCCCCTCCCATAAGGCTTAAAAGAGGAGCAAAGGCACGTGGGCACTTTGCGGGAAAGCAACGTTGTTAATTTTGTTCCCAGTCGGCATCTCTATTTGATTCTGGAATCCTTGTGGCTTTGCCAAGTAGGTCTTTGGCAGAGTGTCAAGAGAGATAAAGGTGGGTGATTATCCGGAAGGACTTCTCCCGAAGGACTTTTTGCAACTAATTGGGATTCAGCTGTGAATGAATGTAATTCACAGCTGTTGCAATAAAAGAGGTTTTTGGGACTACTCGTGTGTTTTAATGGCTCAGGAAGCCGAGGTCACAACAATTATATACAATAGCTTGCCCTACCAGTGTTGGTGAGGATATAGTTTTCTCCTTGGTAGTTCCTTGATTATTGTTTTCTGCTTTATTCTTTGTCTGGTGTTGATCTTTGCCTACCTGGATGTCGGCTGCTGGAGAGGATGCATTCTGATCTTTTTGTTTTCTTAGCTATGTTTATTGTTACTTTTGAATGGCGAGTAAATATGGTATATATCAACAGGGAACAAACTCCATACTCACTTGCACTGATGATGTTACTTAGTTGGGTAATGAAACGTCTGCAAGCAAACAATAAAGCTCAATGAGCACCAAGGATCCCACAGTTCAATCCTTAAGGTCTACTCATAACGTGAAATAAATAGAATTATTCACAAGTACTGTTGATTTAATAACCATGGTATCATAGAGCAGTTTGAAATAATAATAATAATAATAATAATAATAATAATAATAATAATAATAATAATGTTGATGTTGATGTTGATGATGATGATGATGATGAAGTAATTGAGCAGCGAGCTGAAAATTGGAAATGCAAAGCTCTGCATGGCCAATACTTGAAAAGTATTGAAGGCAAAGCTGACCAGAAACTAACCTGGAACTGGTTAAGATCAGGAGTACTGAAAAAAGAAACAGAAAGCTTTATTTTGGCAGCTCAAGAACAAGCCCTAGCCATAAACTGCATGAAGGCAAAAATTCAACATCTTACCACCAACAGCAAATGCCGCCTCTGTAATGAGAAAGATGAGACAGTCAACCACCTGATCAGTGGGTGCAGCAAAATTTCACAAACTGACTACCTACAACGCCATGACCGCATTGCTAAGATCATCCATTGGAAATTGTGCCAGAAGTTTGGATTTGAGTACAGCAAAAACCACTGGGAACATCAGGTTGAGAAAGTTTTAGAGAATGAGAAACTCAAGATCTTGTGGGACTTTAGGATTCAGACTGACAGGCACTTGGCCCACAACACACCTGACATAACAATAGTTGAAAAGAAAAAAGTATGATTCATTGACATTGCAATACCTGGTGATGCACGGATTGAAGATAAGCAGCAAGAAAAAATCACAAAGTACCGGGACTTACAAATTGAAGTTGAGCGACTGTGGAAAAAGAAATTGTGTGTTGTCCCGATTGTAATTGGAGCCCTTGGAGCAATACCCAAAGGGCTAACCCGCTATTTAGAAATTCTAAATTTGCCGGACTTGAACATTTTGACTCTACAAAAAACCACCTTACTCGGAACAGCTTACATCCTCCGACGATACCTTAACAGTTCCTAGGTCCTTGGTTAGGACTCGAGCTGCTGAGCTATTAACCAGCCTCAAAGGCTGTGAATCTCACTAAAGATTAAATAATAATAATAATAATAATAATAATAATAATAATAATAATAATATTACTCTCTATGCATACCCCCTTGTCATGGGGGAGGGGCTTGCAATGCTCTGAGAGATTGAGAGCCAAGTTGGCCAGAATGTGTTCTGCTAGAAGGGTCAGGCCGGAAAAGTCTCAGCAGAAGAGCCAGACTAAGCCTATCGCTAACCCATTTATTATGGTAAGAAAACAGAAAAAGAATCCTACACCAGATTCAATTCAATTCAATTCAAACCTTTATTGTCAGAATACAACATGTGTGCAATGAGATTGGCTGAGCCTCCCTTCGTGCACCGCCCCACAACACAATACAACTCACAGTGAAAGACCAAAAAAAATTCCCTAGCCCAGTGAATCCTATTTACAACCACTCAGTCCTATTGCACCCTGTGAACTTATTGTATGTTGCGCCGGCCCCGCAAGTCAATTGTACTATGTTGTTGTAGAGTTATTTTTCATTCAGGAACCTGACAGCCCATGGATAAAGATCAGTCTTAACCCAGGTCAACCAGGACAACATCAGATGTTAGAGTCCCTCAGCATCTGTCGCCAGTTGATTAAGGGGACTCAGAAGATGGCTGAGCAACCAGGGCCTAGGGCTGTAGGGTTACTGGAAGAACATCAGACAGACAAGACAAAGCTGAACTGTGTTTCAAAATCACACCATTATGGACTGTAATTATAAATAGGAACCAACTAATCAGGACTAAAAGTGAATATTTGAACATTGGAAAATAATTTATCCAGACTCAAATATCACTGAACAACAATTAGCAGATCAGAGATTCGTTACAAGAAATAAATGTTCAGGGAAGCAAAACTGGAAGGGATTCAGAAAAAATTATGAAAATAAAAGACCCAAAGCCAATGGTAGAATGAAACTCAGATAACAATTTGGAAATATAAAGGAAACAACTGATTGAACTATACACATCATTGCTTAGAAGAAGTAATAACAGCAGAACCAGTACAGATCATGACTGGAACAGCCTATGAAGCAACCTCCTGACAAGAAGAATGAAAAGAGAAGATTGTGGCATATGCAAAATTACCAGTAGAAAGGCCAAGACGGCTGGCATTGAAAGCAATGCCCAAAACAGACCTATAATAAAGGATGTGAACAAGGCGTTTGAAAGGATTAAAATAACATCAATCGAACAGACCAATCAACTTGTCTACAGTACAACAGTGGTGGTTACAGAACAACTGCGTACTGAAATTAGAAAACCAAAAGCAAAATTGTATTCAGTCCCAGAGTGGAAGATCAGACTGGATGCCAAAAAAAAAAAAAAAAAAAAAAAAAAAAAAAAAAAAGAAAAAAAAAAAAAAAGAGAAAGAGAGAGAGAGAGAGAGAGAGAGAGAAAGAAATTAAGATCAGTTGTGAATAATTTAAAAAAAATCATGAAAGTTGTTTTTTTAAAAAATTGAAGAATGTAAAAGATCAGGACAAGCATAATAAAAAATATTGACATAGCACCAGAAAAGTTGAAAAAACTTGAGAAATTATAAAGGAACAAATAACAGCAGTAATTAGGAAAATTGAAGGCTTTGAGGCACAAATCATCCAATTTAAGCAAAATCAGCTATTTCAATCAGATCAGAGGAGATTCTGCCAAAATATAAATGGCAATAGAAATTCTGGGGAAAAAAAAAAAAAGAAAGAAACAATCCAGTTTTGGAAAGATTTATGGAAAACCCTATATTCTGTAGGTAGCCTTTGACATAGGACCGTAATGGAGGCTGCCCATCCAGCTACCCAGAACTCGGCCAGCCAACTCTGAGCCTCAGCAGCACCCAGCCTACCTTACTGCTTTTTGCAAGATGTGCCCAGCCAATGCCATGCAAGGCGAAGCTCAGCTTTCCTCCAGAGGCTGCCTCGTGGCAACCAGGTGCAATTCTGCCAGCAGGCGCAATTTTCATCATCGTCTAGCACCGGCTGGGGAATTCTGGGAGTTGAAGTCCACAAGTCTTAAAGTTGCCAAGTTGCCAAGTGCTCTAGTGGGCTCCGTTTGTTATGGTGGCTCCAGAAGCTGCACAAACAAATGGCTTGTGAGAATAGCACAGGCTTGCATGGTGAAAAATTGAAAATCAATTTTTTTTCCCCAGTGAAATGAACAGTGAAACATAATGAAAAATACCGGTAGTCAAAAATGAGCAGGTTAAAATATTGTAGGATTACTGAATACAGATTGATAAAATCTTGGCTCAAAACACACTAGATCTAACTATGGTTGAAAAGAAGAAAGCGTGGATAATTGTGGTGGCAATACCAGGAGATAATAGAAGAAATGGAGAATAAAATTCTAATAGAATAGATCAAGATCTGAAAATCAAAACTGAAAGATGAATGCATGAGCTGTGATAGTCTCAGTAGTTATTAGCACACCAAAAAAATCTTTTGATAGCATTTAGAAAATCTGCATTGACAAAATTTCTGTCTATCAATTGCAAAAGGCCAAACTGCTTAGATCTGGATATACTCTGCTGATATGACATCCCATTAGGTTGGGAAGAACTGAGTGCAAATGAAAGGCAATTCCAGCTAAGGATTAAGCGGCTCTGACTTCCATTGTTGTGAACAGAGACTGCAATAGAGCAATTTGGTCTAATCGTTAAGGCACCAGGCTAGAGACTTCTTGGTCTCCTTCATTGGATGAGAACTGCCCAGTGTGGTTGAAACTCTGGCATAGCTCTCCTCTTGCTCAGCGCAGACAAGCCCCACAACCACATCAAAGTAGTACTTCCTTGGGGATAAAAATAGAGCAGTTTGGTTTAGTGGTGAAGGCACCATGCTAGAAACAGGACACTCATGAGTTCTAGTCCCGCCTTAGGCATGAAAGCCAGCTGGGTGATTTTGGATTAATAGCCAGGAGATGGTGAGTTCTAGTCTCACCTTTGCCGTGAAAGCCAGCTGGGAGACTTTGGACCAGTCGAGCTCTCTTAGCCAATTCATCTCACAGGATCGTTGTTGTGGGGAAAATAGGAGGAGGAAAAAGTCATGTTCACCACCTTGAATTATTTATAAAAATAATAAAGTTGGAATTAAAAATTAAAAAAAGAAAAATTAATTCACGCTCATAGTGTGAAAATGTTAATCTCATATCGGCTGTTCAGTAATGGAATTGTCCTGGGAAGTGGTGGAGTTTCCTTGGAGAATAGAATAGAATTCTTTATTGGCCAAGTGTGATGGGACACACTGTCAGATCCCTAAAAGTGATATTGCCATTCAATTGGGAGAAGGGGGTGGGGGGGCTGAATTCAATTTATTAGTATTGCCTGTGTCAATGGATATTTTACAACCTATATCCTGGCGCCAAAGTGCCCTGAGATCTCCTTACCATTGGGAATGTTTATGACAGCCATGTGGGATGTTTCACTTTAAAGGATAACAAAGGATAGCAATGGGAATGCATGATTGTCCGGTTCTCAGGGCAGCTGGTAAAGAAAATATCTTTACACTTGTGTATTGGCTAAAATCTGCATTCTGGCTAATGGGAGGGGTCTCTACTGCTTTAATCCTACTTGTCTTGCCTAAGGGTATTCAGACCTTGCTTTGACTCCATTTCTTTGCTTTGAATCCATTGCTGTCACTTCTGTTTAATAAAAGGTTCCTTTTGAAATACTCATTTCAAGAGTTTTCACTTTCTTAAGCTAGAGGGAGAGGCAATCGTGACACACACAAGGAATTTGTCTTTGGTGCATATATTCTCAGTGTACATAAAAAGACAATAGACATTCGTCAAGAATCACAAGGCACAACACCCAGTCACAGTCATACGGTACAATAAGCAATCAAATCATACTAGGAAACAATGGTGTTTAAAGAGATAATGGAAGTTCATCTATCAGGAATGCTGTCAGAGAGGGTTCTGCATTAGGCAGAGGGTCAGACTAGGGAAGCTTTTAAGACCCTTTCAAATCTTTATAATTCCGTGATCTTGATTTAATTCTTTGGTAATATAATTTTACTTTCTGGTAACTAGTTTATAGCTTGAAATGGAATTGTTTTAGAGTTTGTTCATATCTCTTTTTCTTTCAGAACTTCCGAGAAATGATTCCTCTCTTTGGAATTGCAAGACTGCTATTCATTGGCTTAATAGGTAACTTTTTAAAATGTTCTCTTCTCTGAGCTAAAATTGAAGAAGTTGCCATCCTGCTTTTTCTCTGTCCTTTGTGAAGCACATGTACACTTCTATTCTTTCACATACCCAGTTAGTCATGGAGAGAAAAGTTTATATTTTAACATCCTCTTACAGTTTGGATAAGGGTGGTGTGTTGGGATAATTTAAATAAACCATGTTCTGTGTAATATCAGAAAAGCAAACAACTGGGTTTTTTTTTTTTTTTGTCTTATCAAAGACAAAATATACTTAGCGAGATCTGCAATGGAGCTGTTAATGTTACTTTTAATAATAGCTTTGGGGACAAACCTTGAACTGAAGGGATTGGTCTGCTTCAATTGTGGGGAGTTTGGAAAGGAAATTTGGAGTAGTGACTATGACAAAAATGCATTAAATGGCTTCTCACTTTTGTTTTTGCTTTGTGAAAGAAAAAGAAAAATGACAGTGTGAGGAATCGGTTGTTAAAATTTGTAAATTTAAAAAGTACTTGGTGGTTGCCTGCAGATATAAACTGGGAGGTGAAAAAGAAAAAAAAATTGCCTGGTTTCTTCATCCAGAGGTCCTCCAATAAAAGATCATTATGGAATGGTGCCTCAGAACATCCTGACATCCCCTAGCTAGCTGGGAGTTCCTAGGCTTCCTTCCCAGAGCTTCTCCGTTTGGTCCAGTGCTAAAAAAAAACAGGAAAGAAGAGCACTCTGGATCTTTCCACACAAAACTCAGAAATACAGAACTTCACCATCCTTGCACTAATTCTGAAACATGAGGCTGGGCAGACTTGCATGTGCAAAAATGAAAAGGGAAAGAAAAGTCGTCCGTAATGCATTTGAAGCCAAGCTATGGATAGGAAAAATGTTTATAGGAGAAAGGAAAATGTGCAAAAACCAAGTGGATTCCAAGTAAAATCAATACAGTCAACCCACCCAATTCAGTCACTTGTTGCCCCTTTGACCAATCCTTGGATTTTAGCAGATGTTTATTGCAAAAATAAAAATTGCAAGAATAGCTGGAGAGAGGTCACTGGGGGTCTGTTCTGGGTGCTTTTAAGCACTTTGGTTTCTGGAAAATGGGCAATACATTTAAACCAGCCTTTGGGGGAGACTGATTCTGGTTTTGCCCAATCAAGGACAATGCTCTATCATAGTGCCCTGGCCAAAGCAGCAAATTGGGAATTATTTTGGGTAAAACTCACCTTAATGACCTCGATGAAATTATAAGTGGCATTTCACGGGAGAGGCTCTATTAAGAAACAAAAGCTCAAGTCCATTTTCTCAGCCTAGGATCAGATCATTAGGTACCGTCACACTAAAGGTTTTTTCACCTATGCCTTTTTAAATCATAGTTATCCATAACATTCTGTTCGCATCTTGTGTGATCCGTCAGTGGTTCCCATGGCTTCTTAATGTGGCATACTCTCCAGACTAAGTGAGGCGAGAAGGCAGGCTTCATAGAGTGCCTTGTAGAGGGCACAAATAACGGGATTGCTTTCCCCAAATCCCCATTCCTGAGTCCACCCAAGCGATCAGTATTAATGGAAAAACAGGCCCAGTCTTCGCTCCTGGAACATTGTACCTTGGTGTGCTCCACGATGTGTTAGGGGGAAGATTATGAAGTAGACGGGACAATTTCAGAGGTGGCGGCTCCAGCTTTGTATGGCCTTTTATGGAGAGTCTTAGACTTCACGCCAGGGCCAAGGCCAGAGCCCTCTGCCGTTTTAAATGATACCTACCTAGTTATTCCTTTGGGAACAATCTCTCAATTAACGTGCAACACTAAAAAGTTGATTTCTGACCATTTGCATTAAATTCTTAGTTGGAACAGATGTAGGATTTGCTTTGTACAGAAGATTTCTCTCTCCTTCAATGGGAATTCAGGTAAGTGCATATTTCCTGTTAAAAACTACCTTCACTCTCTTAGCTTGCTGGTTCATTCTGCTGCCAATTCTGATAAATAAATCTGGCATTCTCTTATTTCTTTTCAATGCAAACTTACACCAGGTACTTTTTCTTACCACATTATCTGAATGTTGCATTTTCTCCCTCTATATCTTGTATAACATTGACTTGTTCTCTCCTCTTTTCCCTTTTCAGCACAAACCTCAAGATAATTAATTAATTACATTTTTATGCTGCCCGTCTCCTCTATAAGGTGACTCTGGGAGGTTTGCAGGTTGTAAAACAAATAAAATATATTACAATATTAAAAACATGCAGATTAAAATTTTAAAGACTATATAAACACTCAAATTAAGAAATGGGCAGCATAGGAATGAGGTCTTCTTATCTGGTCAACTATCTCCACCCCCGTCAGGATCCCAAACCAACTGGTAGTGTCAAGTTTTAATACCCTTCCAGAACACCAAAAGGGTGGGAATAGTTTTCATCTCCAGTGGTAGAGTGTTCCACAGGGACGGAGCCACAGGGGAAAAAGTTCTTCTCCTTGAACCTGCCTGCCGGATTAGCAGAGATCCCTAGCAGGCTTCTTCTGTGGTGCAAGTGGAACAGGCTAAGTTCCATTGGGGAGAGATAGCTCAATAGGTACCGCGGATCCATGCCATACAGAGATTTAAAGGTAACAATCAACACCTTGAATTGGGTCTGTAAGCACACTCACAATCAATGCAGCTTGCCCAGTAATGGTATTAGGATTAGAACTAATCAGGTCCATGCTAGCAACTCTGTACTAGAAATTCTTACTATGACTGACTTCTGGCATTCTCTCTGTATGAACAGAATCAGTAGAAGAAAGTAGATCAACTTATTCAGAGCTGCAGTTTGGAGATATGTTTTTAAGAGGAAAGCAATTATTTCACAGAGGCCCTGAATCAAGCGTTCTCCTCAGAATTAGGTACACTTTCTGAATAGGGTGAGAGCGAGAGTGCGAGGTGGACTTCTTTGAGTACAATTGCTCTCTAGGGTTTATTTTGGAAACCTTCTCCTTATCTTCTAATTTCCTTCTTGTGGCATCTCCACTCTTTATCCCTATTTGATTAAGGGAGAGTCTGCTACTTGGGAGCTGTTCTTGCAAATCCCTTTGCAGCTGTTCTTGTCCATGCTTTGTAATGCTGGAAGCACCAAAATCCTGCATATTTGCCAATATTTCTGTTTTGATTTTCACTAATGCTGCAACAATCTTCGTGTTGTCCTTTGGTTGTTTGCATCAAAGGTTGACACTCCAAGCAGAAATACAGCCATTAAATATATATATGTGTGTGTTTTTTCCCCTTAAGGTTTCCTTTGTGGCCCACATTGCAGGCGGCCTTGCTGGAATGTCAGTAGGTTATGTCATATTCAGCAATTTTGATAAAAATTTCATTAAAGATCCTAGATTCTGGATATGTATAAGTGCATTTTTAATCTTTGTGGTGCTTGCTGTATTGTTCAATGTGTTTTTCTCACCAGCAAACCAGTAGAACGCAACATTCAATAACATTGTATAATTCTGAAGGATAATTTTAAAAATCTTTTAAAAATCTTTGTTTTGTTTTCATGTTATCATCTTATAGTTTGTATGACAATATATTGTAATATGAAGCTTTTTAATTGCTAAATTGTCCAGACTTTCAGAGTTGTTATGATTTTTATGGAGTCTTTTGCTAGAATTTTTTTTGTCAGTAATGGATTTGAGTTTTTAGCTCCTGCTTCTAGCTGCCAGGCCTTCTGTCACCTTCCTTTTTGACTTGATTTTTCTAAGCATTGAGGGGCTGCTCCAATGACTCTTGCCTTTGGTGAATTATTTGCAGTGCTGTGCCATAGTTTCATTTGCACAAAAACTTGCTGATAACTGACAAGCCAATCGTGCGCAGATGGCCTGCCTTGAGAAAGGTGACAGCTTGCTGGTGTCCAGATGCTTTAGAGGAAACCTTCTCAGATCATCAGCATTGCATTTCCTCCAGCATCATTTCATAAATGGTAATACTCATAAATGGTAATAGACTGATTTGAGTGGACAAATACATTCATTTTGAAAGGAGGCCAACACATTTTTCATCAAGGGATGTTTCAGGCTGGGATATGGATCTGAAACAGCACGGACTGCACTTGTGGGTGAAAGATGGGGGTAGCGTGTCTATCCTTACCCTCCGGGGCCTTTGATATGTACATACTGTCCATGATATTCTTCTGAACATGTATGAGTTGGGTGCAGAGTGCGCTGCTGATTCTCCTCCTTTCTCTGGAATTGGTTGCAATCGGTGTTGATGGGAGGATAGAATGTGGAGAGAGGATTTCCACAACTTCATGTTTAATATCAATTGTTCCCTTTCCTGGGTGAAGAGGTACTGTACATGGCCAGTCAGGCTTTGATCTCCCCTCAAATGGATTACTGCAATGCACTTTACACGGAGTTGCCCTCGAAGAAACTCCACTTGGTCCAGAATGCAAAAGCAGAGGCAATTATGGGTGTGTTTCATTATGTCCATATTATACCTTTGCTTTGCAATCTGCACTGGCTCACAATTTACTTCCAGGTGCAACTACAGGTGCTTGTTATTACCTATAAAGTCTTACATGACATAGGGCCAGGTATTTGAAGGATGGCTTTATCCCTGCATTTTTTATCCATAGCATTAGGTCAGGCAGAAGGGGCTCACTCGAGGTCAGGGGTGTCAAACTGGCGACCCGTGGGCCGGATGCATCATGCGCAGGCCACGCCCACCCCAGCTCCGTGAATGGGAAAAACATAACAAAACATCACATGATGGCAACATGACACGGCAAGTTTGACACACGTGCTCTAGGCCCTGTCAATCATGGATTGTTATATGCAACATCCCAGAAAGCAAACTGTTTCCCTCTGTGTCTGCCTCCTGAAACCCCAACCAGTTTGTCTGGTCCTGACTCAGTTACCTCCCAGAAGGTCCAGAACACCTGTTTTCCTCGGCATGGGGGTAAAGGTTGGTGAACGGTGTTTCTGGAACCACTTGTTACAAAATTTTATGTATGTGTGTATATATATATGCACACACACACATATATAATTTATGTTGCATTTCTAAATCTTTGTTACCTGTCCAGAATCAAGATGGGTGGCCAGATAAATCAATTTAAATAAATAAAATTAAACTTTAAATAAACAATTGTATGTGGTGGTGTTTGGAGAGACTGAATAGAAAATGTTAGCATTTTTATTCCATAAATCCTGTTCCTTTGGTATGAAGAGATAAGCTTGTCCAAGCTCCCTCTTTAAACTGTAGCAATGAAGGAAGGAAAGTGCTTCTGCCACTGGTACTTCCCAGATGTGCTGGATTACCACTCTCAAAATTCCCAGCCAGCAAGTTTTGGGGAAGCAACTTTAATTGGCTTGCTTATTGAGACACAAAGAGATATTTGGAAGTGTTTGTTATTTTCTCCTAAAGAGTCTTCAAGGCCCCTGCATATGTTCTTCAAGCATAAGGCAAAAGGAAGGTAGTTCCAACTTCCTCTCTCCGTGTTCTTCCAATAGCTAAACTAAATTAGAATGCAGTACTGCAGGTTAACTCATTGCTCACTCCAGGAGTTCAATTCTGAGCGGCTCAAGGTTGACTCAGCCTTCCATCCTTCTGAGGTCAGTAAAATAAAGACTCTGTCATCAGTCTGACTAACAAACCCAACAAACATAGACATTCTCAGGAACTTTGAAATCCCCAAAGCAAAACTTTATTGAATACATCATTTCGGCACTGAAGAAAGAAAACTGGCTCTAACTTTTCCCGTATAATATAGTTAAAAGAATAGAGTTCTCCCCTCCTCCCATTGGACAGGTTATACTGTCCAATTATGAATTGTTCTTTTGTTTTGAGAACAGTTCATGTCTTGGCCAACACCTGCAGAAGTGTCCTTGGTGGGGGCTGGACTCACGGTTGGAGTCTGCAGCCTCCACATTCCATCTTCCTCTTCCCTCCCCACAATTCTTTGGCAAGTTGAAAAGCACTAATATTCATAGGAAGCATAAATGAATTCAATCTTGACAGACCCAGATTGTTGGGGGCAATTTGCTAACTGTGTAAACCGCTTAGAGAGGGCTGTAAAGCACTATGGAGTGGTATGTAAATCTAAGTGCTATTGCTATTGTTATTATTCAAGAAGCAAACAGGCTTCTGGCTGAAAATAGTGACATTTAATCATGATAAATACAAGAGTTGGGCTGAGAGTAAGTGACTGGCCCAACTGACACAGGTAGCAGCAGCAGCAGCAAAAAGGGAGAAGAGGCAAGGCCAGGAAGGGAAAGTAGAAGAGGAGGGATTGTTATGGGTTGTGGGAACCCAGCTCTTCTCTACACAGAAGGTGGGATTCTATGTTGGCTTGTAGTTTTTCATTTCCTTATTGTTTTTAGACAATGTATATTGCCCATGTAATCTAAGTGACTCTTAAGTGGCATACAAAGAAAAACATTAACACAATTTATACGTATAAAAAACCCTCAGAACCGGTTAACGTATGTCCTGGGGCAAAAAAAAAAATCATTCCACTTTTAGCCGCTAAGATTTCTAATTTTATTTATATTCCATTTATATTACTTTTATAAATAACTCAAGGCAGTAAGCATATCTAATATTCCTTCCTCCTCCCGGTTCTCCCCAAACCCTAACCCAAACAACAACCCTGTGAGGTGGTTTGGGATGAGAGAGGGGGACTGATTCCAGAGTCGCCCAGCCAGCTTTCACAGCTAAGGGGACTAGAATTCGCCGTTGCCTGGTTTCCACCCTTTAGCAAATAAACTGGCCCAGAGTGCCGTGTTTGTGGCTACTAGTCTAGGCAGCATCCAGAGGGTTGGGGCAGGCAATATTACATCAAGGAAGCAATTCTGGCTTTGGTGCCCCCCAAATCAACCCCACCAAGAGCTCCAGAAAGTCCCGTGAGTGAACCTCGGAACAAGCCGTCACAGCCTCAACTCCAACCCGTGTGGGATTCGTTGTCTAGTTTTGAAGTAAACCAACACCAGCTCAAACTTAGAAGAGAAAACAATGATTTTATTTACTACTTTGCAAAGAGGTTACTCTCTCCCCTCCCCCCATGCACACGCAGGTACAGTGGACACACCTTAAATCAGTGTTTCTCAACCTTGGAAGCTTGAAGATGGGTGGACTTCAACTCCCAGAATCCTTCAGCGAGCATTAGCTGTACTGTACTCCAGCATAGCTGGCTGGAGGATTCTGGGAGTTGAAGTCCACACGGCTTTAAAGCGGCCAAGTTTGAGGACCTCTGCTTTAGAGTAACTGTCCTCGCAGCCAACTCTGGCTAAGGCCGGTTTCCAGCCTAGCCAAGGCCTCTGACCCTGGCTCCTGCCTACAATTCTCAGGCTTCAGCCTGGCTCAGGAGATCAGAAAGGCAGACAAGGCCGCCATGTCCCCTTACACCAGGGGTCTCTAACCTTGGCAATTTTAAGACTTGTGGACTTCAACTCCCAGAATCCTCCAGCCAGCCTAGCTGTACTGTACTCCGGCATAGCTTGCTGGAGGATTCTGGGAGTTGAAGTCCACAAGTCTTAAAATTGCCAAGGTTGGAGACCCCTGCCTTACACTTTCTGTAGAAACAACCGGCTCTCTTTCCCTCACCCAGCAAAATGGCTCCCTGCAACTTCAGCCTCAGCCCTCGATTCCCGCCTCAGCCCCCCCAAAGGGAAGAGGGAGGGGAGGCAGCGGGGAGGCCCCCCACCATTTCAGAGCTCCTCAGGGCGGCTGCACGGAGCTGCCTCTTTCCTTCGCCTCCACTCCCGACTCACGCAGCTCCTCAAGCACCAACTGCTCCCAATCGCCCAAAGGGGCTCCGCAACGCGGGTCCGTCCCGGCCGTCCCGGCTCAGCCGAAGCGTCGCGAGGCCAGGCAACCGCTCCGAGGAAGGGGGCGGGGCCTCCTCCTCTTCCTCCTCGCGCAGACAGGGAGGCCCCGCCCCTTCCTCCGCCTCTGGCCCAAGGGGAAGCCGGCGGCGGAAGGGGAGGGGCCCGCGGGGGCGGTGCCACCTGGTGTCCATGGCGACGCGCGGACGCCGCGGCGCGCTCAAGAGGCGGGCGGCGGCGCACGCGTCTTCCCGTTTCCTGCGTGGCCGGCCCGGGAGCAGCAGAAGCAGCAGCAGCGAGAGGAGCCGAAGGCGCCCATGGCCACCTACAAGGTGAGGAGGGGGAGGGGGAGGGGGAGGGGGAGGGGGGGCGCTGTCGGGACCGGGCTTGGAGGGGGGCGGGCCGCGCTTGACTCCCTCCTTCCCGCCCGCCCGCCCTGCGGTGTAGGCCGCCGACTCCAAGAGGGAGCAGTTCCGGCGCTACCTGGAGAAGTCCGGCGTGATGGACACCCTGACCAAAGGTGAGGCGGCTCGGCGCTGGAGGGGGGAAGAGGCGGGAGGGGGAGCCGCCGCTCGGTTCTGCCTGCCGGGTCTCCAGCGCCGCTTCCGCTTTCTCGCCCTGCAGTGCTGGTGGCGCTGTACGAGGAGCCCGAGAAGCCCAGCTGCGCCCTCGAGTATCCTTGGCCGGCCGGCCGGGCGGGCGGAGCGGGTGGGAGGGCCGGGCTGGGCCTTGGGAAGCGTCGCGGCCCTTGACTCCCGCCTCAAAGCTTCCTGAAGCACCACCTGGGAGCCGCGGCGCCCGAGAACCCCGAGGTGGAAGCTCTCCGCCTGGAGGTGGCCGAGATGAAGGAGAAGTACGAAGCCCTGCTGGAAGAAAACCGGAAGCTGAAAGCCAAGGTAAAGCAGTCTCCCGGGAGGCCTCGGCCTTTCCCTGGGGGAGAATCGACTGCCAGGCTGGCTCCCTGCGCCTGGGGGAGACTAACCGCCTCGCCCTCCTTTTCAGCTGGCCCAGTACGAACCGCCGCAGGAAGAGAAGCGGGGAGAATAAGCCTTGTACATGCCTCAATAAAAGATCTGGAAGGACGCGTGTCTGGGTCTTGCAACTTTTTCTTGTGGCCGTGGTTTTACCTGGAGGGCTGTTCAGGTGGGCCCCTTTCAGTGCAAAGTTGAGCAACTTGTTCTGCAACCATTTGAAGTTACAGTGAGGCTGAACGAATGGTGGTTACAACTGATCCTTGGAGTTCTGGCCACCCAGCACACCTGTGGTCACAATCTGGGCAAATGGCAACCGGTTCACACAACTGATTGTAGCGCTCCATCATTGCACGTTCCCCATTTGCAACCTTCCCTGCTGGCTTCCCCTAATCCACCTGTGTATCCTCACCCAGCCCCTCTACTTGGGCAGGTCTTCCTGATCGGTATTGCTCTCCCATGCACCCTTCCTGATCAGCATGCCCTTGCTCCCTCTCCCATTGGGCAGCAGCCACTTGCCTGCCTGCTGTCCTTGGACTTGCAAGTTTTTGCTACCTTCTCCACTAACTATGGTTGCGGGAAGCCAGCGAGAAGTAGCCACACCTAATAATGTGAGATTCAATTAATGATGGCACCTGGGACTACAGAGATTGCCATTGCTAAGGGATAGGCCAAAAAGCCATGATGACAGTATCCCAATTGCCACTGCAAGTTGAGCATTGCCTGTATGTCTATCACAGGTTTAGATATTCCCCCAAGTTATAGATCAGTGACAATGTTTTAATATTCTGGAATAATTGCTCATATTACAGAGTTAAACTGTTACTAGCTGAAAAGATAAAATCTGCCTAGGATTGGGAGGAAGAGTAGATGAAGTGATGCTTTTACATCTTAGTTTAGAAGTAAAGGGTTATGGCAATAAAGGAAAATAAGAAAAAGCTGAGATGTACAGGTGTAAAGTAAGGTAAACTTTCCTAACCAGGCAAATCAAGACCAAAAAATAATAGAAGTAATAGAAATATAAGATACTTTTTACAACTACAAATGTAACAAACTAGTCGTTAGAAGTAACTACGTTTATACCTCTATTGGATAAATATATAGAGTTGTTAGGTATTCCCTTCCCCGGCTTCAGCCTCGCTCTCGGGGCTCCGGACTCTCGGGGGCTGCAGGAGCCTCGGCTGGGCTGGCTGCCGCTTGGCTGCCCTGCAACCGCCCGGCCGGAGGGGGCGCCCGCGGCGGCCCGGACCCGGAAGCAGCCCGGCGCCAGGGAGGTGTGTCCGTGGGCGAGGGGCTGTCACGTGGCCTCCGGCGCCGGCCAATGGGCTGCGCGTCCGCCTGGGGCCGGGCTGTCATGGCCGCCATGCCGTTCGGGGCCGCGGGCGCCTCCGAGGAGCCGGCGCAGCTGTCCGGCGCAGCTTTGCCCGCGGGCAGCCTGGGCGCGGCCGATGCCTTCCCCAAAGACTTCGGCTACGGCGCCGACGAGGACGAGGCGGGGGAGGACGACGGGGCTGAGCTGGCGGGCGGCGGCGGCGGCGGGCTGGGCCTGGCGGGGCCCGGAGGCGGGCTGGGGGCCGGCGGGGGCGACTCCTCCAAGCAGCCCCGCATCCTGCTGATGGGGCTTCGGCGCAGCGGGAAGTCCTCGATCCAGAAGGTGCCCTTGGGCGGAGGCCGGGCTCTGCGGGGGGGGGGGGCGGGGGCGGGGGGGCGCGGGGGGGGGGGGGGGGAGGGGGAGGGGGGGAGGAGGGGGAGGGGGGGGGGGGGGAGGGGGAGGCCCGGCCTGAGCAGCCCGTGGTTTGTGTCCGGCAGGTGGTCTTCCACAAAATGTCCCCCAACGAGACGCTCTTCCTGGAGAGCACCAACAAAATCTACAAGGACGACGTCTCCAGCAGCTCCTTCGTCAACTTCCAGATCTGGGACTTCCCTGGCCAGATGGACTTCTTCGACCCCACCTTCGACTACGAGATGATCTTCCGAGGCACCGGAGCGCTCATCTACGTCATCGACGCGCAGGTGGGGGAGGGGGGACCAGCCAAGGCCCCCCCAGCAACGCTGAGCTCAGCATAAACTAACCAGGGTTTGCGGTAACGATGCCATTAGCCTGTTACGGTTTCCTCTGCTTTTGTCTCCGCTTCTCAAGGGTCTAGAAATGGCCCCCAGTCCAAGCTGCTCTTGGGATTCCTCAAAAGATCCAAGGCCTGCAAAAATCTTGCACGTTTTTACGGTGTCCGGTAAACTAAAAGGATCCTGCAAAAACAGATATATCCCATTTCTTTTACAGGATGACTACATGGAAGCATTAACCAGGCTCCATATTACCGTTTCCAAAGCCTACAAAATCAACCCAGAAATGAACTTTGAAGTTTTTATTCATAAAGTGGACGGCTTATCGGACGACCATAAAATTGAAACTCAAAGGGACATCCATCAAAGGGCCAATGATGATCTTGCCGATGCCGGCTTAGAAAAACTACATCTTAGGCAAGTGACGTTTCTGTAGTTTCTTACATGCTTTTGAATGGCTGTTACTAATTACAAGTTGGGGCCAGAACACGTGGATAGCGTAGGGAGGCCTCTTTCAGTACAGAAATGCTGATTTGATGGTACCCATGGCACGATTCCAGAAGTGGGCGCCGTTTTTCCCTGGCCAGAAAATGCCACTGCCGAGTGCCCCAACAACAAAAGCTGCATTTTGCTGCCTTAACAAGGTCTGGAAGCTGCAGAAAGCACTGTGCAATCCGCCTTAAACAGCAAAATGGCAAATCTTGTTCCCAGGCTGCACGATAGCAACCTGAAAGTGGCTGCCATTTTGTCTCAGACACAGTGGCAGCGGCTTCCAGAATTGTGCCATGCAGCCATGCGACAAAGCAATCCATTCCAGTGCTCTGGAAGAGGAGGAGGGTGTTTGGGCTGCTGGGTGAATGGGCCCTCCGGTGAGAGTGGGAAAAGGCCTGTGAGGCCAGGGGGCAAGAAGTGGAGCATGGGGCATCGAGGTGGTGGTGGGTGAGGCCTTGGGAGGGTTAGGGCAGGCGAGCCTGGGCCTCTGCTCAGCTTCCAAGGCCCATGCCTGAGGCACCTCATGCTCCACTTAATGACCTGCACGATTGTTTAATGATTCAGCACTAACAGCTAAAGCCCAGAATATACTATTTCTGAATCTCAAATGCTGTCACAATTAGCAATTCTACTTTTTCTCATCAAATGATTTTATCGTTTTCTTGAATTTCTGAAAACTGAAATTTGGTTCATCTTGAAACAAAGTTCTTTCCCTCTCACCAATTAGTCCTCTTCTTGATTTGGTATAAATATAGTAGATCAGTATAACAGATCATTTATTTACAGATTAAGCAGTTTGTTAATTGAAATGAAAATGTTAGTGCAGATTTCATAATCTTAATGTGCCATGCAGATCCAAGTGGTTTCAGTAAATCATAACTATATTAGTTAATTGTGAATCGCACAAAGAAATGAATTTCAACAGATTCTAGTTGGGGAATGGTATCAGTGGTGGTATTAGTTTGGCCAAAACAGCAGGTAACATTTGAAACCATTCCGGTAACTAATTATAGAGTTCTTTTTTTTGTTTTTTTTTAGCTTTTATTTGACCAGCATCTATGATCACTCAATATTTGAGGCCTTCAGTAAGGTGGTGCAGAAGCTCATTCCACAGCTGCCCACTTTGGAAAACTTGCTGAATATCTTTATATCAGTAAGTAGCAGTTAATTATTCCACATTTTGAAAGGGTGAATAATGTGGTGAAAGTTAGCAAATGAGTGATTTTCATTTAGGAGATGATGAAACTGACACCAAGAGATCTTGGAGAGAACTTTTGCCTCCAAAGCAGAGGTGGGCTGGAGACTGCTGAATCTTGCTGAGCTTTAACAGATTATCTGGTTTATATTAGACATTTTAAACTAATAATCTTTGTACATCAAAGATTTGGATTGCACGCTAGTAAAAATTATTAAAATATGTAGTGTGTTATATTGTGGATATTTTTACCTCCTGAGTATGTACAATAAAGTATTGCAAAATAAATAAAAGCAAATGAATCTTGGGACAAATGTGGGCATTTGTGAAATGTAATCTTAATTTAAACCTGTCTTTTCATGTTCTGAAGAACTCGGGGATAGAAAAAGCTTTTCTTTTTGATGTTGTCAGCAAGATCTATATTGCAACAGACAGTTCCCCTGTTGACATGCAGTCCTACGAGTTATGTTGCGACATGATTGACGTTGTCATTGATGTTTCTTGCATATATGGGTAAGTAAGTGCTTTGGAAGTATGGAACAGCAATCGTGAAAGAAGTCTGACTTCTAAGATCCTTTACTGTTCAGGGATATTTTGAGAAATGCATGATAATCTTAAAAATTGTGAAGGATTTAGTTTATAAGGTGGGGGATGCTATGCCGCCTTGCTTATGGTTGGCATAATTTTGTCGTTAAAACTGATTTTGTCTAGAATCCTGAGCAAGCATCCTTATGAAACCTGGTATGTCTCACGTCATGATCACAGAACAGGTTTTTCTGTCAAAATATAACTGCTGCTCACTTGTCAGTGAGATGGGCAGCATATAAATTTAATGAATAAATAAAATAACAAAGTTCTTTCAGTATTATGATAAGCTGACTTCTGTATTAATATAAATATATATTAATATAAATGTAAGGATATTAAAACGTATCTGCAGATTAATCAAGCTAAAAAGCAAATGTACATTTCCGAAGTTGTCATAAATTGTAAAGATTGTACGTTTGTGGTAAAGTTCTGTTCAGTTGCTTAAATATAAATGAGGCATCTGAGTTGTATCAAGTTTAAGTGGTCAGTCTAAATCTCAGGTATGCTGTGTCTTTTTCCTTCAACCTACTCTAGGTTAAAAGAAGATGGCAGCGGTAGTGCATATGACGAGGAATCTATGGCAATTATTAAGCTCAATAACACAACTGTTTTATATTTAAAAGAAGTGACAAAATTTCTAGCCTTGGTGTGTATCCTCAGAGAAGAAAGCTTTGAACGCAAAGGTGAGCAAATGGGCTTGTGCGCCTCATCATTTTGTTCCGTCAATCTTTTTCAGTCTTTATCACAGTCACGGACCAGCAGCACAAACACCACCATTAAAAACAATAATCATAGTTTTGTTATTTTTTCCAAAATAGAAAATAGGCCCTGCTTCAAACTCGGGGCAAAACAGTTTCATCTGAAATATTTAGTCTGAGCTGGCTGTGTCTTAGAGCAGCAGTCCCCAACCCGGCAGGGGAGGGGCAAGAGGGGAACTGTAGCACACAAGATGAGCTGTGCCGAACAGGCCGTGGGGGTTGGGGACCCCTGTCCTAGAGAGGTGAAAGTTGGAACATAGCTCAAGTGTTCCAAGCATCAGAGAGCAACCTTAGAAATGCTTCAGCTGTTCAGTTCATTGGAAGCAGAGGCTGCTCGGAATGTTCCATAAAACTGTTACTTATCACTCCTTTTGGCGAAATTGTTTTAAAGCTGCATTAAAGGTTGCCCTTGCAGACAATGAAATAATTATTCCAGCATGGGAGGGAGGGTAATTTCTCTTAGCTTGAATACCTTAGCTAAGTAGCCATATAATAAATTAAAAAACGTTATTTTTGTCAGCCACCCAGAGTCACTGAGAGTGAGTGGGCGGCCATATAACTTTTCTTAAATCAGTGTTTGAACCCCTGCACAAATGACAACCACAGAAAAAGGGCATTATACTAACATTACATTAAATGCCATACAGTACAGGTAGTCCTTGACTTACAGCAATTGGGACTGGAATTTCGGTTATTAGATGATGCAGTTGTAAAGTGCAGTTGCATTGCTTAGTGACCCAATCTTTGCAGTCCTAGTTGCCATCATAATCAGATCCCATGGTCAGTGGGAAAGCTGAAGGAACAGAAGTTTCCTGAGATCTTCCCAACTGACGCCTCTCTTCCCTTTTTCTTCGCAGGCCTCATAGACTACAATTTCCACTGCTTCCGGAAGGCCATCCACGAGGTCTTTGAAGTGGGCCTTTCCTCTCACCGCCCCTGCGGCCATCAAGCCAACATTCCCAATTTGAAAGCAGTGACTCATAACGGCACCCCGAAGGAGGACTGAGTCGGGACGGCCTGGGGCTTGCTTGCCTACCCTGGGTGTGGATCAGGGCAGGAGCAGCAGCACGGAGGACGGGCGGCACAACGTCATCCGTCTCGTTTGAAGCAAGCGGAGTCTGCCTTGGGGACTTGCTGTCATAGCTCAGACGGACACCCAGGAGTGACCGTATGAGGGGAAGCCACGGTGCAGAATGGTGCCTTTCGTCATACTTAGGCAGGCGGCCTCTCCTCTCCTCCAAGGGGGAACTTCCTTGTTTGTTTCAGGATGTGCTCCAGAGGCTCTGAAATTCAAACATGGCTCCTAATTTATTTGCTCAACACATTCCACCTGAGTTATCGCATACTTTTGTGGCAATGCCTGAAAAAAGTAATCTATCCTGTGACCTCTCCTCTGCAAACCCATGCAATGAAAGCGCTTATCTGCTTTTCTAGCTCTAACTGTCCGCAGAACTCTTTGAAATGTCATGTCTGGAATTGTCAAGCTTTTGGTCACTCGATATCGGTTCCCGCATTCATTCTTGCACTGTTTTTTCTTTTACACTATTTTTCTGAAGCCTCTTTGGGCTGCGCTGGCTCCCTCTGCTAGGAAATGGGGATGAGCGCCGTCCCTTAGAGGGGGGCACGACTGATCAGGAGAAACCTTTACACTCACAAATAATTCCATTTCACCCTGCCATGGCTAAAATGGCTAGAATTCATTTGGTTTCATTCCATATTTCATTCTTGAGGCCGCCTGATCACATAAGAGGGCCATTTTATTTTTTTAAAAAATATGTGCGGCTTTGAGAATGGAGCAATTATAGGTTTGGGTTATAAATTGCAAACAATTCTGCTCATTTGTAACAACATGTGAAACATCCTTCAGTAAGAATACTTTCCATCTGATGAAATGTTTTCTGTGAATCTTCCTGTAGATCATTCGTGTTTGGGCAGGTAAATGCCATTCTCTTAATGATGACAGCACTTCCAGAGCCTCCGACTTTGTTCTTTACTCAAAATGTCAATGTGAGTTTGTTGAAGGTTTAACAAATGCTTGAACACTCTTCACAGGTGATTGCATTCTGCCAGAAGGTCAGGTCTGGAGTGGATATGTTCCCAGACTACGTTAATAAAAGATCTTTATCTCGACAAGTTTCTCTCCTCTGAATTAAATACAAGGAAATACAATTTTTGTATTTCCAGTGGAAAGTTGTAAACTCACCAAGTATAAGACACACTGGAGTATAAGACGCACTTTAGTTTTTGGGGAGGAAAATAAGAAAAACGTTGATTGGCGGGTGGATCGGCATCACGGAATACCCCCAGTCAGCTGTTCCCAGAGGTGAATTTTAGCAACAAGTTCATTGGTTGTGAGCTCTGTGCTTTGATTTTTTTTCTGCCTCTGAAACTCCATTTCAGGAAAAACTTTTTTTTCTGCCTCTGAAAGCCTCCAAAACAGCTTCAGAAAAAAAGCCTCTGAAGCTCTGTTTCTGAGGCTTTTTTTACTGAAGCTCTGTTTGGAGTCTCTTTCTGAAGCTTCGTTTCTGATGCTTTTTTCAGCCTCTGAATCCGCCGTTTGAGAAGCTGGGCAGGACTACGTTCGGAGTATAAAACGCACCCAGATTTTCACCCTCTTCTTTGGGGGGGAAAAAGTGCATCTTATGATCCGAAAAATATGGTATATTATAGTGGAATGAATTATTGGCTGCAGTTGCAGATTCTAATTAACACCGTACAGAAATTATGTCTTCTGCTTTACCATGTTTTCTTTCAACTTGTAAGCAAAAGTAACCAGATGTTTTTGCCAAGCAGTGCTGTGGATTTCTCTCTTTTTTTTTTAATTTGATTTATATGCCGCCCTTCTCTGGAGACTCAGGATGGCTTACAATGCTTTAAGCAATAGCCTTCATACTTTTGTATTTATTTATTTATACAAAATCAGCTTATTGCCCCCACAAACTGGGTCCTCAATTTACCCACCTTAGAAAGGATGGAAGGCTGAGTCGACCTTGAGCCTGGTGAGAATTGAACTCGCAGTAATTGCAGGCAGCTGGATGTTAAATGCTGCCTTAGGAGGCATTAGCCTCCTACGCCACTCTTGGGGACACTTTTTTGCTACGTGCATACTTTTGCACCTGTTACATGTTTTCTTTTTGCATATGTTTTTTTCCCTTCCCCCCCCACCTTCTGTCACTTTTTTTCTTTTGCTTCGTAAGATGATCTATCACAGTGTTGGGGAACCTTTTCGGCACCAAGTGCTGAAATGGGAGCATGCGTGTGTACGCACCAGAAACCGGAAGAGCTTCAGTTGGTCTTTGCACGCTCATGTGTGCCAGAAACCTGAAGACCAGGTGGCTGGCGTGGAAGCCGGAAAATCATTTTCCCGGTGTGCACATGAGCACCGGGCGGCGGCTCTTCTTGTTTCTGGAGCTCTCGCGCGTGTGAACACTAGCTGGCCAGTGTGCCAGAACCTGGAAGAGCAACAGGCGATGGCTTGCATGCCTGGAGAGATGGCTCTGCGTGTCACTTCCGGCATGCATGCCATAGGTTCGCCATCATGGATCTATCACGTAATGTTAATAACCCAAATCGAATTTAGCCCTCCAAATTTCTTCCAATCTTTCAAATCCGCTTTTCAGTGTAATGTTCCAGTAGAGTTTTAGTGTTTAATTTAATTTAATGTATTTATTTATTTATTTAAATTTCTATACCACCCTACTCCCGAAGGACTCAGGGTGGTGAACAGCCACAGGATAAAACACATAAATACAAAAATTTAAAATAGAATAAAAATGAATTAAATAATTTGGCTGAACAAATTTGAAATACCCCATAATTTAAAAACACATTAAAATTTGCATTTAACACATTAAAATTTGCATTTAAAAAGGGGAGAAATTTGTCTTCTGAATCTTCAAAAAGTTCAGTAAATATTTCCCAGCATTCCAATTGCCTACTAAGAAAAAGTCAAGGTCCGATAGTTTTCCAGATGTTATTACTTTCTCTTCATTTCCTTTTGGATTATTTACAATGCAGTAATCTTCCTCCAGCAGATGGCTCCCCTACTCCCAATTCCAGCATTCCACAGAATTTAAAAATCCAGAAACAGCTGATTGTTTAGAACAGCAGTTTCTCCTAATAGTCACTTTTCACAGTTGTTTGGTTTTTCCAGGCTTCCTATGTTTTAAATCATCCTTTAGGTTTTTCTTTTACTTCTAAATCTTTAATCTTCCTCTTTAGTTTTTATTTTTAATTTTTCTCCATAAATCCAATCGCCACTTTTTTAGCATTTGGAGAACATTTTTGGAACTTTAAATTAAGTCTCTAAGACAACAGTTGGAAATTTTCTCATCCAGTTTCACTGCTCTGTCCACACTGTTCCAGCACAAGATCTTAATATCCCAGTTGTCCCAGCTTGTGACTTGACCAAAAATGGCCATCGTCCCTGCTGCCATTCAGGAGAACTTTCTTCAGTTGAGCAAGGAAATTGTGTTTTCCTCACGATCGACGAAGTGTCTCTTCTATCTTCACCACCCCTCCAGGGAGGCTTAACCCCATAGGGGTCTCCCAGCAAGCAGTTGCCGGCTGCATTTCATGGAGCCTGGCGGAACGCCTCTATTTTTCAGGAATTCATGCCGCGATGTCAACCAGAAGTCCTATATATTTTCTTATTTCGAACCTATAAACACTGCCGAGAGTAAACATGTAAATCATTTTTGCAGAAAGATGTAGAAGAAATATTTATGGAATTAGTGGCCTACAATTGGTAGGCAGGCAAAGCCATGTTGACTCAAATGTTTTGCACCAAATTATGGTCCAGAGTCATCTTGTAGAGGAGATGGGCAGCATAAAAGTTTAATAAGTAAAGTAAAATAAATAAATTCCCATCAACTCCCACAGGGCTGTTGTAATGATTTCAGGCCTCCAGCCATATGAACAGGATGTGATCCTCAAATTTTTAGCATGAATGTTACCATTTCCAAGAGAGTAAGGCCTCCATTTATGATAAATGTTGGGATAGCTGGCCCTACTATATAGTTGTTAGGATTTACAAGCTATAGCAGTGAGGCAGGTTGAAGGTATACCCAAACACTTTGCCTTCCTTCCTTTGCACACCAGGGCTCTGGGCAGCCTGTGCCACTATCCGGGGATCCTCCGCGTGGCCTGAGAGGGATGGCAAGGCTCCTCTGGTGGACAAAGGTTTGGCACTCATCCTGGTCTTGCCTTCCTCTGCTGGAGACAATGGATCCCCCCAGCCACACCTGGGCCACCGCAGGCGCCCCTGGCCATGAGCGATGTTGAGCTGGCCACGCCCACCATGGCCATGCCCACCCCAGTCAGGCCCACCACGGTCATCCCAGCCCCCTGAGGTCAACTGTAAGTCTGATGCGGCCCTCAAATCGAGTTTGACAGCCTTGGTTTAGAAGAACTTGGAGGTCAAAAGTTCCCTGTTACTATTGTACTGAATGGCTTTTCCTCCGTCCAGCATCTTGGTGGTTTGTCCACACATGCTTTATTCTGCAAAAGCAGCTGTAAAATTTGCATTTAGGAAAAGTTGTAACAACACAAATTAGCACAAAGGCTTTATTTGGGAAAAAAATCTAAGCACTATATTTTCAAAATTATTTCTTACTGTGTATATATACAATACATTTCAATCTAGCAAGTTACAATAAATACCTCTATAAGTCACAAGATGGCAGTAGAACTCCACAGAAATTTTAGTTTGATACCGTGTTTTGGCTAAACGTTTATTCTAAAGGTTAGAGGAAAGAGGAACCAAGTTATTGACATTATAAAATTGATTTAGAATACAGAATAACAGCGTTGGGAGGGACCTTGGAGGTCTTCTAGTCCAATCCTTTGCTCAAGCAGGAGATCCCATACCATTCCAGACAAATGGCTGTCCAATCTCTTCCTGAAAAACTCCAGTGATGGAGCACCACAACTTCTGGAGGCAAGCAGTTCCACTGGTTAATTGATCTCATTGTCAGAAAATTTCTTCTTAGCTTTAGGTTGGATTTCTCTTCATTAAGTGAAGAGAAACTCTCCATCCATGACCTTACCTTTTAAAGTGTTGGCTATTCCCCCCAGCTTGGTGTCATCTGCAAATTTGATAATTTCCCCTTTTACCCCTTCATCTAAATCGTTTATGAAGCTATTGAAGATTACTGGGCCTAAAACAGAACGTTGGGGTACCCCCCTGCTTACTTCCCTGAATGTAGATGTAGTACCCTAACTAGGGAACTAACTGTTTGCTGTTAGTATATATTCCAGTGACTTGCTTGTCTGTGCGTGGGGGGTGGCCTTAAGAGATTCTTTGGTTGGGCTGTTTACTGATGGCTCTTTGGCAGTTTCTTGATTGGGGTCTTGTTTACATGATTATTGGTCTGATGTTAACCTTGGAGTTAATCTATACTGATCTGGCTGCTGATTACTGGTGGACAGGTGCTGGAGCCTCTTTGTTCTATTTTGAGCAGGTTGATTGTCTCTTTTGTATAGTTTATAGATGTTGTTAATGTCTATGTGTCTGTTGATGCCTGATTTGTTAGAGTGCCAGGCTTCTAGAAATTCCCTGCCGTTTTTGGACTTGGCTTGGTCTAGGATTATCACATTTTCCCAATTGAAATTATGGTTAAATCTGTCTATATGTTATGAAATTCAAGAATTTTCATTGTGTCTTCTGACTGCCAGTTGGTATTCATGGATGCGTTTTGGCAGTCTTCTGCCTGTTTGTCCTACGTAGTAGTTGCTGCAGTTCTTACACTGAATGATGTAGATCAGGGGTCTGCAGGGGGAGGACTTCAACTCCCAGAATTCCCCAGCCAGCTTTGCTCCAGGCTTAAAGTTGCCAAGGTTGGAGACCCCTGATGTAGATGACTCCTGTTTTTTCTTCTGGGGTTGCTGAGTCTTTTGGTTTGCTTAGGATGTTTTGAAGGACTTTAGTTGGCTTGTGTACTACGCTGATTCCATGTAGTTGTAGTAGTCTCTTGGTGGTTTCTGAGATATTCTTGATGTATGGTAGTGTAATTCTTTTTAGGGTTTGTGTTGGCTGTGCTGTAATAGGTTGAGAGGTCAGGGACATTTTGATAAAGTTGCATGGGTATCCATTTTGTTGGAAAGTGTTGTATAGATGCAGTGTATTTGGGTTC